TTTTTTATATATATTTAGTCAATGCATGCCAAGCGTCAACAAAGTAGGTATTAATATTTTTAAAAAAAATTAAAAAAAAGTATTCACGCGCTCAGCAGCAGTGAAATACACTTATTTTGTCACATCAGCGTTTTGTGTTTAATAGGCACATTTCTTGATAATTTAGGTGTTCAATAGGTATAAGTCCTAGTTCAGGTGTCTAAGTGAATTATGTGGACAACTTTAAGGGGCTGCAGATGACTTAGGCCTAATTTAATTGTTACAAATAAAAAGTTAGAAGTGATTACACTGAACCAGAAAAGAACCCATTAAACATGACTATGAAAATGTTAGTAAAGTCTAAAGCACGAAAAAGCCATCCTTCATAAAAATAAAGGAAAATAATAATATTATTATTATTATTTATTTATTATATTATTATATTATTTTCAGTATAATTCTTTTTATAAATTAAATTGTTATAAAATATTTAAATATTTGATTGTATAAGCTTAATTAAAATATTAATAACTTTTAAACTTTTTAAGATTAATTCCTAATTAAATATAATTTATTAATATTTATCATCTATAATCTATATGTATATAATAATTATAATTATTTTTTAAATAAATAGTCTCTACTGAAATTGCTATATTTTTCCTTTTCTCATAGTTTTTTCCTTAACTCTTCTCATAAATAATATAATTTATATGGATAAAGTATTATCATTTATGATAAATAACGAAATTTAATAATTTAAAGGGTACAAATATATAAAATGGAGACACATATTGATATTGTCCTTTTGATTATCATTAATGAATGATTCTAGCTTCACAAATTTAAATTCATTGATGCTTAATTACATGATAAGAACTTTGGTTGTTCTTTCTCCATGGTTTGCTAACTTATAATTTCCTTTTTCACATTCTTCATTTATTTATTATGATTTTCTTTTATGCTCTTAAATCCATAACTCTCATCTTTTCATATTCAGAACCTTCAAATATTTAAACTAAAACTTTAAGTTTTCTTTTGATATTCTTCTATTCTATGTATCTAAAATCAACTTCTTTATCTCATGAACTCCCTACCAAGATTATTAGGCTATTATTTTTATTTAATAGCTAAACTAGATGAAGAAAACTTTTGAATTTTGATAGGATATGAAAGGGGTCAATAAGATCTCAGAGAGTTATGTATTAATTTTGTACTTGTTTTTTCATCTATATGTAAATCGGTCTTATAAGAATAATGTCTATAATGAATTTTTTCTTATATCTGTTTCTTTTGTCTTTTTTTCCTTCTCTATTAGACTTGTTATTTAGTTTTCTATGAATATTTTATTGCCGTAAGTCTTTATTCATATTTTGTAATTGTTACATTTTATTATTTATTTACAATTTACATATATATTTTCATGAAATTTTAGTCACTATAACATATCTAAAAAAAATTACATAGTTCTCAGAAACTAGTATGCAAATAAATATGTAAAGCTTATCTCTTTTTGAATCAATCTTTTTCAATCATGTTTCTAAATTGTGAATCATATACCCTCAATTTGCTGATACAGGAAAAAAAAACATGTTGGAAGTAGGTTTTGCAGAACGTTATTTCCCTCGAAGAAAAATCATTTCATTGATAGATTTGTAAAGTAACATGAAACTGTGAATTTACATGATTACTATAATTAATTTTCTTGAGACATGAAACTACATTAGTATTTTTATTTTATTTTTTGTAATCAATCTATTTATAACTTGTTTCATATAGGAGCAAGATGATCTTCTTTAGTCAATTTATTCTGCATCCACCTCTGGAGCATTTCTAGTGCTGCGTTGGGCTGATCCATTGGTACCATATGGCCTGCATCATGGACCTTGAGGAAAGTTAAAGGCCCGTGGTTCTTTTCAACTCCTTTCTCTACACCATCTACTGTAAATGAAACTAATGGGGCTTTTCCAAAGGCATTTTGCCCTGACCATTTCATTGCATGCACCCATCTTGAATTCCCTGTCCATATAATAAACTAAAAGTTGAATGACCATACGTAAAACTAACTAAAATTATCGCGTAGGTGAGGGATGAAATGAATTTTTACCGAGCCAATTGCAGATAAGGTCGTATTCCCCTGCATATACAAGTAGCTTGATACCATCTTCAAGAAGTGAAGGAATGCCTACTTCAAGATTCTTCATCCAATCCAATTGCATTGCTTGGTATACTTGAGAACTACATGAAACAAATTCAATATCCCCAACACCAAGGGCCTGTCTAACTTTTTGATCATTCAAGAACGTTTCCATTTTCGAGAAGTCATAGCATAGATCACCCTCACATCTCTTCCGCAGATCATAGTACTGCACCTCCGAATTCCATAATATGAGTTCAACTTATATACACTAACAGTATAGAGATTATTAATAAGACAGATAACCTGCTACAACAAGTTAAAATATACTACTGGTATTAAAATGAGATTACTAGGTCTTACGTTTTTGTCACCAACAATATTCATTATCTTGTTGAAGATGCTTGTACAAACAAGATATGCTGCCATACAAGCAACACCGCTGCGATCTTTTCCTGATATTATTTGCACAAAAAATAGCCAATGTGAACACTAGCTATTGTGTTGTATGAAGAAAGAAGAACTTAGAGGATTTTTAAAAAAATATATAAAAAAGAAGGAATTACCACAAAGCTTGATTGCCTGTTGACATTGTGGATAGGTCTTCTCTATGGTATTGTAATCAGATTTGTTGATCAATTTCATATCCAGAGCAAAGTCAGTGTAGGCTTTGTACTGGATTTCTGGATCAGTAAGTCCATTACCAATGGCAAATCCCTAAACAAATGTATTTTGCTTAAGTTAGCATGATAATTAAGAAATTCAGACAAAAACTATCTGGCCATGAAGCAAAAGGGATGGTATATTGAGACAATTAGCAACTTCCTTCGTCTAGTTGTTATATTTCGTTTTTCAAAGTCAAACTACATGAACTTGACAAATGAAAACTTGCAACTTGTAGTATTTTTCATATAATTTTATATCTAATCCAGTTTAGCTTTGAAGAGTAATAAAAAATGACTCTCGAAAAGTGAAACATGACAACTAATTTGAGACAGAGTACCTTAAGATTTACGTAGATTCCTTCTTTGTTTTTGTTTCCTTGGTGAACCCGAGAAGCAAATGCAGGAATGTAATGTCCAGCATATGATTCTCCAGTAATATAGAAATCATTTTTTGCATATTGAGGATGTGCCTTGAAGAAGACCTATATTCATTATCATCAAAAGAATGAGCATTTATAATTTTGAAAATGATTGCATTATGATTTCAACATTAATATAAGTTTAATTATAAATTCAAATATTTAAACGAGCTAAAAAGGAACAGGAAGGAACCTGTAAGAAGTCATAGAGATCATTGCTTACGCCCCTTTCATCGTGACGAATGTCATCTTCACTGGAACTATAACTAAATCCAGTCCCAGTTGGTTGATCAACGTATATAAGATTTGAGACCTGTCAATTTGTAATTTAACTAGTGTCACTGAGTAAATAACTCTATCAATATATTTTAATTTATCGTAATAGATATCTTATTTTTCCCTCTTAATAAACCAAGAAAAGCTAGTAATTAATGTAAATATGGTGAACTACTTTTGAATTTCCAAAATTCTAAAAGTCACAACTCATGAAAAGCAAATGTTAAAAAATATTAAAAAAGAAATGCTAGTAGGTGAAAAGTTACTTTGCGTGATGGAGAAATGTTGAAAATCAAATAAAAACATAGAGAGAATTCTTTAATTAACATTTTGAAATTTAATTGGGTAAAATCC